CCCTCTTATATTAAAAATTAGGCATATAGTGATATAACTCATAACCATATATAATTAAGACCTATGGTCTTTTGATTTGAAGCCCTTGGTTTATGACCTTGAAATTGAGCTCAAGGTCATAGGTAAATTTGATGTTCTAGATATTGACCTTTGCTTTTACCTCATATGTATACATGAATGTATACATGAATTCCATTTGTAAACCGGAAGTAGCTATTTTTTGTACTTATTTAATGTAAAGTATATTAAACCATATATTTTTGGAATCAGTATCAAGTAAGCTATCAAAAAACCTTGAAGTGACATTTTTCAAACCGGAAGTAACAATTTATCTCCCTTATTTAGAAAAAAAATGTATAGAAACCATATATTTTTGGAATCAGTGTACAATAAGCTATCATTTGACGCTGGTATGATATTTTAAACCGAATTTTAATAGTTCTATATCAAAATAGATCTTTATGGGTGGAAAGACCTTCAATTGTTCCCTGAACAATTGGTTTTTAATTCTACATAGATCTGTTTTAAAAATTGGTAGTCTTTTTTTCAGCAGACTATTTCAAGTACAATATCTTGCAAATTAAATCAATGCTAAAGGTCAATCAACTTTTGTCAATCAAATCACAATGATCTAATCTTATTGACACCACTTTCCCAAAATGCATTGGCACACATAATTGAATTAGTTTGACTTAGTTTGGTTGACATAAGTTCTCCAAAAGAACAGAGGTATGCCTCAAACACAAATAACAATCATAGGGTCAAGGTCAGAGCATCCTGTCTTTAATATATGAGACCATCCCATTATGCATCGGAATACCTTTGTAACCTCATCACACTTATTGTGGTGGTTAAATTTCAACTGGAATTTTATACCACGATGATAGGGTTTAACAAGTCGTATAAAAATAAAACTAGTATACAAATTGCCCGCCTGCCCGATATCCTGAAAGGGCCTGGGGAGAACACCGAGTTTGGTCAATTTCAGTACAAAGGTTATGTGCAAGACACAAATCAGACAAAGATTTACTATTATAGGGACCAAATTGAAGGTCTGATTGACCAACCTTTGTTTAATGAAAATGATACCCCCAGACCATGATGTTACTCGCCCCCTTACTCCATACCAAGTTGGAAAATAATTACCGGTACATGTAGTTCGGAGTAAACAATTTCATAAACGATTCGTCCATCATTCTTCGACTTTATGCAGCTTGAAAAATCTATATTTTTTCTTGAGAAAGAAATGAAGTTTTCACGCCAAGGAATAAAAATGTTTTGTTTTGAAAACATAACCTAAACATTGAAATGTCACAGACACTGTTTCATGATGGATCATCTGGAAGTTTTCAAGACATGCATATATTGAATTTGACGCCATCACTTTCTTTTATCATGTTAGGTATATAAAAATTAACCTGCCGTCATAGCGATCCTACTTTCTAATCCTTTCTTTTTCGATTTTTTGCATTGAATACCAAACCTCAAACCCTCACAGGACCCATCTCGTAATGCATGAAATGAATCGAACGATTTGATTGGTCTTAATTCTTCAATGACTTGTCACTGGTGAGTCTTTTGTAGACGAAACGCGCGTATGGCACAAATACAAAATTGCAATCCTGGTATCTATGATGAGTTTATTTACAGCCACTGGATCGATGCCACTGCTGTTTTTATTCCCTGAGAGTATCACCAGCCCAGTAGTCAGCACTTCTGTGTTGACATGAATTATCATTGATATGGTCATAATTATAAATTAACTGTTTACAAAACTTTACATTTTTGAAATACTAAGGCTTTTCTACATCAGGAATAGATAACCTTAGCTGTATTTAGCAAAACTTTTAGGAATTGTGGGTCCTCAATGCTTTTCAACTTCGTACTTTATTTAGCATTTTTAACTTTTTTTTAATTCGAGCGTCTTGATGAGTCTTTTGTAGACGAAACGCGCGTCTGGCGCAAATACAAAAATTTCAATCCTGGTATCTATGATAAGTTTATTTACATCGACCAATTACATGTCTCGTTTGTTTTATTTCATGCATATTTAACAACAACTTGATTTGACCTTACTTGAGGCCAGTTATAAATGTAATAAACGGTATAGTATATTTGAACTTCAAAAGAACTCAAATTTGCATACAATTTAATAAAGAACAATTAAGTGACCACATTTATATCTCATCAAACAACAAAAAGAACATCATGATTAATAATATTTACCTTTATATCCTCAGATCTAGAATCCTCCAAATTTACAAGGACGTTGCTATTTACGTTTCGTCTGTAGGCTAATTTTCCCGCCAACTATTATTCCTGCGCATGTTGCCATTTGATAAATGTAAACGACCTGAATTTCGAAATTGTCGACGAAGAAATATTTTATACAATTGTTCTATAACATCTTTACCAAAAGCCCAAGGTATAAAAACTAGAGGCTCTAAAGAGCCTTTGTTGCTCACATTGGTCTATGTGCATATTCAATAAAGGACACTCTCCGACATTGAAGACAAGAACATAATTCATTGCAAAAATCTCTGTTTTGATGATCTTGTATTGCTGATCATTTAGTGTGTTTAGCTTCTCTCTGTTTTCTTTAATTTTTGCTCAAAACACAAAAGAGGGTAAAAAATTCACATTTAAGGGCAATCACTCCTATAAAGAGTGACAGTGAGCCTACTTACTATATCGGCAAAATTAGACTCGCTAGGAGATCTTGCCTTGCTGATAATTTTTGTGATTTAAAGTGTCTATTTATCTATTATAATTTTATCATATAAGACAAAACGCCAAAAATGGTGAATATCGTCATTAAAGGGCAATAACTCCAATAAGGAGTCGTCGTACGATTTCCTTCATACTGTCTTAACTGTAGAACTTGTCTTGCTGATCATTTTTGCTTATTAAAGTTTATATCTATCTATTATAAGTTTTGAGATATAAGGCAAACACGCAAAAATTTGGTAAAAATCGTCATCAAAGGGCAATAACTCTAATAAGGTGTCGACTGACAGTTTCGATGGACACTTATTTGGAGAACTTGTTCTGTTGATCATTTTCGCAATTCAAAGCTTCTCCCTATCTATTATAGTTTTCAAGATAATAGGCAAAAAATAAAACAAAATGATAAAATTTGTCATTTAAGGGCAATAACTCCCGTAAGAAGTCGTCTGACAGTTTTGACGTATATGAACAATTGGTAGAGTTCAACATTCTGCACATTTTTGCTAAGGTCAGATTTGTAAAGTTTTCAAAATAATAGATAAAACTTTTATTTTACCCCTATGTTCTATTTTTAGCCATGTCCGCCATCTTGGTTGGCAGGCAGAGTCATCGGACACATTTCAAAAACAGATACTCCAATGTTGATTGTGGGCAAGTTTGGTAAAATTTGGCCAAGTCGTTTCAGAGGAGAAGATTTTTGTAAAAGATAACGACGGACGACGACAGACGACGACGGACAATGACGGACACCAAGTGATGAGAAAAGCTCATATGGCCCTGTGGGCCAGGTGAGCTAAAAATGTACGAATTTTTATTTAGACCTATTTCCTTTGTGCAACGTCTATTTATTTTGGTTTGTTCGACGATCACTTAAGGTTATTCTCGACATATTGTTTTTTATTCCAGGATTAAAAGTATGAAAAAAATATATCCAATGAGTTCTAATTAACCTACAAGCCAGCTAGATAATGGCAATAACACCTGTATCATCATTCTTTGGGGAAAAAGCAAATCTAGTGTGATAGCATAATGGAGCTTAACGGCCTAAAACAGGTATTTTACCAGTCACTTTAAAAACAATTCTTAAAATCATTCAGGTTGTACAGTGTCATTATTTGTTCAAATTATCAATTCATGTTGTTGTTTGCAATTTATACTATATGGCATGAGTATTTAAAAAGTATGAAGATATTAAGAAGCCATTGAAAAAAATCAAAAGATTTTACAGCATTACATAAAGAAAAAGACAATATGACATTAGTCTACATCGACGGGAAATGGGAGGGGATGCAGAGCCTGATATATATGGTAAGGTCACTTGTCATTGGTTAAAATCCTAAGCCAAAACTTTATAATCTACCTTAAACTGAAATTTTAATCCACAAAATATCAAAAGGGAAAATAAAGACTGGTCCACAGGAACCAACTGAACTCTGAGCTAAATCCTGATCTACCAGGAGGGACAACAGTATTTGCTCTTCTAATGACATATTTCGGTTTGCTATGACGATGTAACACCGTTGATAAGTCGCATTCGATAACTGTCATTATCGTAAAAAAGAACACGAACTGTGGCAACGTGTACGACAAATAAAACACTTTTCTGATCATTTGTAATACAGATATAACGTTATGATCAAACAGAAACTTATGACATGAATTTTGCGATTATGAATCCTTGGTTTATTGGCATCCTTGTATACAACAGCTTTTTTTTTTTTAAATTTTAGATAAGAAGAATTTTTATGCTTTAGAATTACTGTAGTAAAATCATTTACTGACCAAGGTTCAACAACTTGTTTTTGGTTCCATAAAAAGTCAAATCAAACATTGTAGTTGTGAATGGACGCATACAAAACTGTTACTTTTTGTTTTTGTGCGGTTTGGCTACGACATACTTTCTCTTATGTGCAAGATTAATATCTGAAATAATTTAATGCAAACCATGACCACATTTGACAAAATATTTCTTTTGTGAAAACAAATTTCAGTAAAAATTGTGTTCCTGTCAGTTGGCGATCTGATATTTAAATAATCATTTTGTCTTTGCTGAAAACACATTTTTTAAAACAAATCAGTTGTTACAATCGTCAATCTGGTAGGTCATACATGTGTCATATGCATAAAATTGAGAAGAGCAGAAGACAGCAGAATATTCTCACAACTTAATTTAGAATAAAAAAGTTTGGTCTCCAAAACCCTTAAAAGAAAATTGTAAAGGGAAATAATAAAACAGTGCATTGACGTGTCATTTACTAGCTTATTAGACTTACCTCTACCATTTAAAACAATGTACTTGCTATCTGGTTGATACAAACTATATTTGTCGTCTAATCGGTTATTTAGTGACCAATATTTCCAAAATAATAATACTGCTTCAGGATCAGAAATAAGGATGGTTTTCTGAGAGAAAACAAATGGTTAATTATTTTTCATGTATCAAATTTTGTTCCAAATCTTACTTATTTCATTTACCTCCAATTTCAATCATCTAACTATTGTATGGCACACGTCTGATCTGATTAAAAAAAAAACATTTGACTAATGTCCTACGCGATACCATAATACTCTGGTAGAAAGACAAGTAGCTAGTAATCTCATAGATCGAGTGGTCAGACAAAACTGGGTGGATAATATCAAGATCAATTACTATCAGAATAAAATGAGAAAGTATAAGTGATTGTTATGTTTCTTTTTATATCACTCACACGAGTTGTCACAAATGGAGCAGAAACTACTATCTTATCGGAACTTTGCGAGCACCTGAGTTCATCTCCGATATATTTTGGACTCAATTTTCAATTTTCTGTGCAGTTTAATTTGAACGTTTGTTTGCCCATGAGTTTTATTGTGTCTTTTTTTGTCTTATTCAATTGTCTGCGACTTTTTGCATTGCCTGTGTGTTCTTCTAGAAATATATTATTATTTAAGATTATTTGATAATTGTTCTTATATATCATAATGTAGTGACCCCATCCCATATGTGCAGAAGTAACTTCCCCGCCTCAATTACCAATTTATTATGTTTGAAATTTAAATTTGTCTATATTAAGGTGTACAAACAAATGAACGGAGTGTTGGTCCCCATAACGAGTGTTCATTGCACTAGTAATTAAATTTTAGTCTGAAATGGTCATTTTCATCTTAACAGGATTTGAAAAGTCGGAACAATTAATTATTCAGTCATGTTCAGCTTTCCTGTCCTTTTCAGACTTATCCACTGCGCTAAAGTCAGTACTGTTCAGACAGTTTGCTTGTAGTTAATCTAGTCCTGTTTGGTAGCATTTCAGACAACAATTCAGTATAAAGTTGATGTGTACAGATAAAAAGCAGTTACTGAACAATCTGAACACAGACTGAATAGATAATAATTGACTACAAGCGAACTTTCTGAACTGTTCTGAAAATACCGATGTGGATTAGTTTGAAAATTAACTGAAAAACTGAAAATGACCTATAATTTTTTCACGTCTTTTAAATGCTGTTTAGATCAAAATTGTTTTACTAGTGCTGTATCGTGAAAAAAGTTCAGGAATATTTTGTATTTTCAAAACAGATTTTCGTTTTTTTTTCTCATTGTTAATATAATGTTTCTTTTTATCAGTAACACCCGTGGTCAGTTAACCAAGTATAATGGTATTTAAACGGAATGAATGGATAAAAGTCACAGCTACTTATAAACTATAAGTTGCTCCGAACAAATTGCTGACTATCTAATTTGAAACATCTATTAGGACGCTTCTGCAAATTTATTGCTTGGATTTCACAATACGTCATTTGGTATGCAAGCCGGGATAATAAAACAATAGTTGAAATGTTTTTAAATTTTTTTCTGTTAAATAAACAGTTAACACTCACCACATAAAAGGGAAACATGAATGGAGCTCAATCCTGTCATAAAATTACGCTTTGGCATAACTTTATTCACCAAAATAAAATATTAAAAACGTTTCATATTTTGCCTTTAAGATGTATAGCTTGATATGGATGATTAGGTTGGAGAGAAAAGCTTTTCCTACCGGTAAAACTGAAGTGTCCTGAGGAGAAAGACTTCTCAGGTAAAGAAATGGTGAATTAGAACGAATTCGTTATATTAGATGTTTTTTCTTTATAATAACCTTAATTAATCTTAATCGGAGTTAAATCTCTAAAAAGTAAGAATTTGAAATTGAAGTCTTTCTGAGATGAACTGCAGGATTGTAGAAATTCACAACTGACGACGTGATAAAATGATGATATGCCAGTTGACAAATCTTACCTTTTTGGAAGCATGACCAAGAATCTCCCTAACACTACTGTTCCAGTATGCAGGTACGTTCAAAACCCAAATGATATCTGTTGAATAAAGCTTTGAAGATGAAGTAATTCCACATTCTGCATGATCAACATAAAAGTTGATAAGCAAACTAAAGAGCGCCAGTGCTGTTAATTCCTTCTTCTGATCAAACGTTTTCACTTTTAATTTGTAAATATCTGTAACTCCATCCTATAAAAAGATTATTGATATTAAAGATATTAGGCTGTATAAAAATTTCTCGTAGCTTTACTCATATCGCTTCATTGAATGCTTAGGTGCTCATAACAAATTTAATATTCTAAACTGGTGTGGCTAACCGTTATAGTTAGAGATAAAGTTCAAGATACAGTTTGAGTTATATTAATTTTGGAGTTATATTTTGTGCTCCAATTAGAGCTCGAGTTTTCTATATACTTAGAAATTAATATGAAATTCTGCACTCGTTTAAAACATACCTTATCTCTTAATTTCTATATTATAGGGAAACCATCCTTATGATAAAGCTAAATTATAGCATGGATATCAAAATATGCCAGGATCACTTGAAATTGAAAGGATTCTGCTAGAGACTTTATCACATGGTGGGTTGTTATAAATATAGTTAAATTATCGTTCGATTAAAGTTATATGACACTTCAAATTAAAGAAAAAGTCTTTATATGTTTTATATACTTGAACGACTAAGCTTTACTATAAAACAAGCGTACATGAACTCACTTGTATAAGAAAATCCTTTATATTATCAAAATCTTAATAAATATTACTGAATTACTGTCTTCCCGTACACTTATTCGCCATTATTTCCGGTATGTAGTGACCTTAATTTCGAGACGCCTCGTGAGAACTTTGGCCACCGGACAGCGCAAGAGCAAGGAGAAAACCATGATAAATGTAAACAAACGTGCACTGGGATGTAAATAGTAATAACTGAATCTTATAAAATCAAATTTAGTATAACAAATCTTTAAACAACTGTTAAGGAAAAGTATTATTAACAATTTGGAACGCATGGAAAAAATAAAAAAAAACATGGCTCTATCCATTCACTTATTTGTCCCTTACTCCGCGTTCTCTGGGTTGATTGTCAATGTCACGATCCGGAAAACTTCGGCAACAAACTCGACAATTTATTAGCTCGCGATCAGCAGTCACTGAATGAAATCATATTTGTTGATAATACGTTATAATGTTATAGACTTGTAATAAACATTAAACCAATAAATGGAGAATGTGTCCCCATGGACACAGATGATGCCCCCGCTTGCATACAACATTGTAAAGGGACATAACTCAAGAGCGATAAAAGTGACGCTACCCAAATTTGTACTTGATCTGAGTTTTAAGGTAATAAGTATTGTGTATAGGTTTCATAATATTTGGTTGGGGTAAACTTAAGTTACAGAACGGAAACTCAAAATTTTGCAATTTTTCGATTTATAAAGGGGCATAACTCGATAATGATTAAAGTGACGCTACCAAAATTCAACTTGATCTGTGTTTTGTGGTAAAAAGCATTGTGTATAAGTTTCATAATATTTGGTTAAGGCAAACTTAAGTTAGAGAACGGAAACTAAAAATTTCGCAATTTTCCATTTATGAAGGGGCATAACTCTAGAACGGTTAGAGTGACGCTACCAATATTCAATCTTGATCTGTATTTTGTGGTAATAAGCATTGTGTATAAGTTTCATAACATTTGGTTGAGGCAACTTAAGTTAGAGAACGGAAATTAAACATTTTGCAATTTTTCCATTTATAAAGGGGCGTAACTCTAGAACAGTTAAAGTGACGACACCAAAATTCAAACTTGATCTGTTTTTTGTGGTAATAAGCATTGTGTATAAGTTTCATAACATTTGGTTGAGGCAAACTTAAGTTAGAGAATTGAAACTAAAAATTTTGTAATTTTTCGATTTATAAAGGGGCATAACTCGATAATGATTAAAGTGACGCTACCAAAATTCAACTTGATCTGTGTTTTGTGGTAAAAAGCATTGTGTATAAGTTTCATAACATTTGGTTGAGGCAAACTTAAGTTAGAGAACGGACACTAAAACATTTTGCATTTTTTCCATTTATGAAGGGGAATAACTCTAGAACAGTTAGAGTGACCCTACCAAATTTCAAACTTGATCTGTATTTGGTAGTAATAAGCATTGTGTATAAGTTTCATAACATTTGGTTGAAGCAAACTTAAGTTAGAGAACAGAAACTAAAAATTTTGCAATTTTTCCATTTATAAAGGGACATAACTCTAGAACGGTTAAAGTGATCCCACCAAAATTCAAATTTGATCTGTGTTTTGTAGTAATTAGCATTGTGTATAAGTTTCATCACATTTGGTTGAGGCAAACTCAAGTTAGAGAACGGAAACCAATTTAGAGACGTACGGACGTTCATACGGACGTACAGACGGAAAAGGGTAAAACTTAATGCCCCCTCCGCTACGGCGGGGGCATAAAAATAAACGTGCATAGAAGACTTAGTTTAGTATATATGCATAGATTGGTTTAATAATTTCGATAACATCGAAATTACAAGAAACTCGTATATTACTTTAAGAAGCACTAGTCAATAGATGCGCGTGGTGTGTCGTGGTGAGATAATGTATTATAGTTTACCTAAATTATGTTTATTGAAGTAACAAAGAGAACGAAAACGTAATTTCTTGCATAAAATGAGAAATATATAGAACCAAGGGAAAACCACACTGATCAGTTTTGAATGTTACCTGTAGAAACCAGTATGGGTGACTTAAATACAGAAATATAAAGTATCACAAAAGGACCCATTCTGAGGGGTGATGATCAGGTATGTATGTTTTTGCTTTCATAATAAATTATATCCAATAGGAACTGGAACATTTATCAAGTTCCATATTACACTTTTCAGAATGAGCTTAATTTCTAGTTCTTAACCTACCTAGCCATCTCTTTTCTGCACTTGTAATCTATCATTTCAACAGAACATAGACAGCACATATCAGACTAACAAATTGGTGTTTGTTGTAGTCTTAAAGTTCATGAAATATTTGACATTGGAAGGGAGAAAGCATTTCATGTTACTCATGTTAGTTATGCGGTGCGATAAAAAACTTTATCCTAAAAATATTCGATCGAGGACTCCTTGTTTTAAATTTCTTTTAATGACAGGTATAATCTTGCATTAAAGGGTGACGTTTGACGGTGCTAATGACCTATAAATACGCAGTCACGTCACAAGTGCACCGGGACGCGAATTTAATGCATTGTGCAGAGAAAATGCCAGCTCTCTGTTTGTTAAAAATCTGGAATGAACTTTTTGAGGATCCTTAAGTTTCTTGTAGCAAGTCAACATAAAACTGAGAATGGAAATGGGGAATGTGTCAAAGAGAAACAACCCGACCATAGAGCAGAAAACATGTATTTCCCCATCCCTTTCTTTATGCCGACCCATATTACATGATCAATTTTCTAGTGAAAGTTAAGCAAACAATTATTTAACGACAAACTTTTCTTAATATCTTGGGATTATCCGAGTAAACAATGCATTTGTACTTTGATTTAGAATTGCCATAATCTGTCTGTTGTAATTGTTCAGCCCAGTTATGCTATTTTTGCAATAAGCTGTATTCATATATATTTATCAATTAATATCTACTTGAAAAGCAATCATCTTTATATAAGAACACCGGGTTTGTATTTACATGAGCAACACGACGGGTTTCACATGTGGAGCAAGATCTGCTTACCCTTCTGGAATTCCTTAAATCACCCCCTGTTTTTGGTGGGGTTCGTGTTGCTCAGTCTTTAGTTTTCCATGTTTTGTTTTGTGTGCTGATATTTGTCTTTTGGTCTTTTTTTGCCATGGCGTTGTCAGTTTATTTTCGACTTATGAGTTTGAATGTCCCTTTGGTATCTTTCGCATCCCTCTACTTCATAGTTTTGTTATCAAACTTTAAAGGGGCATTAGCTACGAGATATAAAAAAATGAAATATGATTTTTTTTGGTGTTTAGTCATTACTGAACATGAAATAGTAAAATAATAATTCGCTTTTAACAGCCAATTTGGTTAAATTTTGTCAAAATAAGCTAAGAAACTTCGCTGATGAATTATTTACTTGCAAGTGAAGAATTCGACCTCATTGAACCCGTATTCATGTGACCTACAATTTAACCCCTTAGCTTGAGATGGGATACGCATTTAATTTTTATTACGGATTTAGCTATTTAAAGAAAAGAATGTCAACATTGAAAGTGAAACAAGGATGAACAATTTGATTGACTGATTCGATCCACAAAAACAAATTTTTATACACATGATTGAAAAACATACGTTTTAACCTATAGTATGAAATCAAACAGACATAGTAAAATCCAATTGCACGTGGTCGCTATCTATATATATTTATGTTAATATGAACGTCGACAGTCTTCGAATGTCATTTTGATGATCAATTAGATGACGTCTAGACAAAAATACACACGAAATGTGATCCATAATATCGAGTCCATGCATTGTTAATTGTTTATTCAGTAATTTGGATATACGTTTTAGTATGTTATAAATCAACATGAGAATTTAAGTCGAATTGGTGAACATAATTTTGACAGCTTATGAACCTTAAACTGTTTAGTAGTTTATTTCAATAAATGAAAGTTTTACCTGTATCTTATGAATATTCTTTGTAAATTGTTTAAAAAATAAACAATCCTGCTGGCTGTCTCGTCTAACTAGCTCGTAGTATTGATCCTCAGCGTCATGGCCAAAGGCCAGAAATCCTCTATCTGAATCTAGTAAAATGGAATTTGGCAATTTCACAAGAGGATCATACGATTTCTTGCAGGGATCGTCATTAAAGTCATGAAGCATTTGAAAAGTATATCCTGATTCTTCCTTTCCTATCTGAATAGCTACAGAGACTATATTAATCTTGGTTATTTGTTGTACACCAAATAGATTCAAGTTAACCGCTTGTCTGAAATAAATATCTATTTATAGAGAATAAAGTTGTAAGTTCAACAAAGAACAAATAATCATTAGACTATATTAAGTAATTATATATAATACATTAAATATCACAATAAAAAATCACATAATTTTCGCCAACGTTTTCGAACCTCGTCAGGCGAGTACAGCTGTTGTCTCTAGCGACGTCTTATAATGTTATGATAATGGAAAGGGGAGTAGTTCGCATTACACATTACACTTAATTAATTAATAAATTGTTAACACAGAGGTATGCCTTGCCTTTTTGTTATTTTGAAATTAGAATTCAAATGTTGAAATTAAAATTGCAATATTTTACATGCAAGTTGTGCAAAATATTTAAAGTTAATGAACCAAAACTGAAGGTACAGGGCCTAACAATCTCCATGGAAATGAGATGGTCCAATGTCTATAAACTGCATATCAAATATCAGTGACCTACTACTAGAGGATCCTTCCAACTGACCTAATCACAAACTAATACAAAAGTTTCAAAGTCAATATTATAAATAGACCATGACTGAGGGGGCGGGGCCATATAATCTCTATGGAAAAGAGATGTACCAATGCTTATAAAACTGCATACCAAATATCATTAACCTACCACTGGTTATTTTCCATACAATGACCTAATCACAAACTAAAACATATTAACTATGCAAAAGTTTCAAAGTCAATAGACCATGACTAAGTGATCGGGGCCACATAATCTTAATTGAAATAAGATGTACCAATGCTAATACAACTGCATACCAAATATCATTGACCTACCACTAGTGGATCCCCATAATCTGACCTAATCACAAACTAATACATCGTTGACGAGGCCGCCGCTGCCGATGCTGGAAACAGCATACCTATGTCTCGTTTTTTGACTCCGTCAAGGCGAGACAAAAACTAAGCAGCACTTTTTAGCTTCGGTTAAAAAATATTCATGAAATTTTACTATTTAGCTTTTCTTTTACATTCATTTGTTACACTCATTTTGTAAAACGGGAACACTGAATATTGCCCGTCAGCACACATTTCTACATGTTTGCTTAGATTGATCATCCCTTATGTGTTGTCTATGAAATCGGAATCGTTCACGTTTGTCCAATGTTCCATTCTCTGCATTTAATTTGTAATCAGCTACCTCTTATTAAGCAAAATAGTGATATACAGCACTAGCAATGCAATTTCATTTTCATTGAGAAATATATGGGTCATTATCAAAAAACATGCATATTTCGATGAGGGAAATTTCGGGAAACTGATGTCATTGTTTTAAAACTTAAAATATGTCCTGCTATTCTGAAATATGGTAGCAACTATATTCAGAAATATGCAATGGGCAAAATTAGGAGTTCCTTCAATTCTAACAATTTTAGGTCATCCTTTGATAGAATCATATCAATGGTGTTACCAATATAAAAACATGCATTTAGTTATTAAAAAAAAAATTTAAATACTAAACAACTGTTCCAATTTGTTATTAAGGTTTAAATTACTACTTATTGACATTATTTTTATAGGTATGCATTATATTTGAACATAAATTTCACAATAATTTGTTGTAAAAAAACATAGCTGTCCTAATTATGGCTGTTGTTAATATAAAAGAATACACTAAATCTGAATTTATGTCAAATGTGTAAGACTGAATGATTAGATAATGCCTAATCCTTGGTTTACGGCCTAAAATTACTTTCATTTGTTAATAGAAGATAAGAATTATTGCATTTTTATATAGTAACACCACTGACCCTTCAGTAACAACAATGACACAAAAGTATCACCATTGACAACAAATTTCAAATTTTACTTTTATTAAGTACTGAACACAAAACAAAGAACACTTAGCAAAAGAAAAAGAAAAAAATAATTCTTAGGCTAAAAAATCCCATATTATATAACATAACCTGAATAACTAAAAAAGTCAATAGTGTTAATAAATAGTGTCATTGGTGTTACCAGCAATAAACCAGTTTTTGAAAACTTAGTATAGGTAATACATTATATTGTTAAAACATTGTTAAATACGTATTTTATTTCATAAATAATCATTTATTATGATGTTTCGGTTATTAAACACGAAAAAACACAAAATATTGCTGATTGTCATAATATATTCAGTGGTGTTACTAAACTGGTCAATGGTGTTACTTTGTTAATGTGGTCTCACCATTGACAGTAACACCAATGATGCACAGGTGTATTTTTAGATTTAGTTGCAAAATAAGTGCTCCATTTCCCTATTTTATATATTGTTCCTGGTGCATGTCTCTACAATCAACATCTTTTTATAAATCAAAGTTTAGGAAATCTTTCGGAAAATGATTTTTATAAGGGTACACCATGGACACTAATTTCATTTACGATATAGCTTTTACTTACTTTTAAGATTTTTTCACTAATTATCAACATATACTAGATATTTTTTTGTCGTCTGCATTACATGCTTACAGGTAACATTGCTAGGGGAGAAACTATTGTAAATGCTGAAAATTTGAGAAAGATAACTCTTACTCAACCAATTTGTCTGTTGGTTACACCAGTGACTTAAAAAAATGAGACTCTTCTTTTTGTTGAAAATTTTTATTATAAAACCAACTGTACTTTCTAAATCATTAAAAAAAATGTTTGTATATATCAAAATGCAATAAATAGTGATAAATCCTAATATAAAAGGATATGAATAATTGTCCTATTTCAGGTCTGAAAGGTACTGTAGAAAAAAGTAACAGTTAATTCTGGCTATATCCAAGGGTTTCAGAAAACATTAAGGATGTTTTTATAACATTTCATACTTATTATAATTTATCACAAAACATTCATATCTAACATATACAAGTGTTATTTTGATATATTTTCACGTTTGTGACTTAAAAAGACCAAATAACATATATTTGCACGTTTTTTTATAATGACCCATATACTCTCCATAATCATCCACTGATGGAATGTTGTATAGTAAATAGGAAAGTTCACTATGGAAACATTGATAATATCTCTTTTGCGTAAATGTAAGTACTCAAAGGTTAGATATCTGTTATACCCTTCATTTACCATTGTATAAAATAGATAAGAATCGTCAACAGAAATATATGATATATGTATCCTTTTTGATTTTCTGTTTAAAGAAGTCAGTCCTAAAGTAAAAAAAAATATTAAAGAACAGAGTTCCAATGTCTCCCATGTTACACATCTTTTATCTGTCCAATGTCAATAACTAAAAAATATTTCTTTAAAATCTTTATAAACATCTTGGAGAAATGGCTTGAGAGCATTGAATGTAATGTATTTATTTTTCGTGTAACTATATTATAGACTACAAACAAAAAGGGCTTTGTTACTATCTTATTGTATTGTATTGTGTATTTAAATTCTATGTACCGGTATTATACTAATCAATATTCTTTATTCCCAACACATGTATGCTCTTTATGCCCCTGGTGGGCCCTTAATTGGTAATAAAATATGTTCTTGTTCTATTTGAATAGAAGAGAGAAGATATGAGGTAACCTCTCTTTTTCCGAGTGAAGTTCAATAAAGTAGTGTAAGTTTATAAAAGAATACATCATTTACTTTTGAAAAATCACTTCAGTAAACATGATTCTTTTTCTGAATTATGGGGTGTATACACTAGGTCGTACATTCACAAATCTTGTCTGATATAAAAGTAAAAAAATTAAGATAATATCATAGGAACACTACCTTTTTTCTGACTTGTTTTGAGTAGATTTAATGTGGTTTTCCTTTCTTTCTGCATTCCTCTGATAACTGTAAGAAAAACAAATATAATATTCAGTTAGCATCATAAAAAATATTTTCATACCACAATATTTTATGGACTTCACAGGGAAGTCAATACAGCTTTAGGGGAGACTTCCCGTAGGTAGATAATTATAAAAAAAAATAGCTATTGTCTTTATTCCAAGATCAAGCACACTGATGTATTTTCCGTGATTTTGATATCTAAAAAATTATCGTTGAAAATAAAACCGTGATTTTGTTTCAAAAGACAAACATTCAGGGGCCTAGTTTTTGAAAGTATTTCATGACTAAGACATGTCTAACGATGTTCTTATGACATGTATGTTTTCAAAATTGTCCCAATTTGCATTATGACTTAATTATTATCGTATACTTTATAAACCTCGCAACATGACTTATGATGGTCTTATGTGTGTGTTGTTGTGTGTTGGTCAGTCTGGGTCCATGTATATTTGCGTCCATTCGTTTTTCATTTTGAAATGACAAAAAACAAAAAACAAAAAACGAGAGTGTTTTCATTTTTCGTTTTTGATTTCTCAAAAACCAAAACGAAAAACAAAAGTGTTTTCATTTTTCGTTTTTGATTTCTCTAAAACCAAAACGGAAAACGAAAGTGTTTTCATTTTTTGTTTTTGATTTCTCTAAAACCAAAATGAAAATCAAAAGTGTTTCCGTTTCTCGTTTTTGATTTCACTAAACAAGAATTTTGTATTCAATTTTAATTATTTCTCGTTTTATAATGTACAATGTTTTCCTTTCTTGTTTCACAGTCATTGATAGTAAATAATGCCAATGTAAACACCCCGGTGTTCTTTCAACTTAATGTAGACAAAATAGACCGCCTGACTTATGAATTGAACTATGGTGATAAATGAGTCAAAGCCTTTCAAATTACCTTGTTTATATCTTTAATAAAAAATAAATTATTATATTTAAATATTAAACGAATCATAAATTTAAATTGTACATTATAATATTATATATAGATGGTACAAATAAATAGATTGATTACAACATCACATTAACAAGGGAGGTTACTACTTTTAAAAACTTATAAGAAAACTTCCCCGGTCGTTAAAGTATACATGCACAGTCACTGTAGTTATCAAATCTTTAATCGAAGATAATGTCGACGGATGCAAAAGACTTTATAAATCTGAACAATAAGGGTGCGTTTTCTTTACTTTTAAATTTAGAAAGGTTGATCTCAGATGATTAGAATTCATAACCAAGGTCCATTATACGAACATGCAGGACGATAATGTGTTTTGCTTGATCAATTGATTGAAAAACAAATTTCACAATTCAAACCGGGATTAGCATTCAATCATTTTGCCATTCGGAGCCTACTCGGTATTAGTTTTGCTTATTTTTGAAAGCTATATGGTGACCTTAACTAGAGCCTGGGTGTGGATGGGGGTTTACGGAATAGAGAATAGTGGGCAAAAAATATAAATAATAGAGACAATGGACCAAGAAATAAAAAAAAAAATAGAATAATGAGGTGTTAAAATATAAAAAGAATAGAATCATTGGCAAAAAGTATAAAGAAATAAACATGATAAAGAATAGAGAAAAATGGCCTGAAACACTGATTAAAGAATAGAGAAAAATGGAAAAGAGTATCAAAGAATACAGAAATGAAGAATTACGCATCCAGACCATCATACTAGTTGCCTAAACCAACGTTAGTTTGTCTCCGGTAGAATGTTATTGGTTTGCATACGTTTTCTTTTCATTTCTATGCCTATCAATTAAGACATTAGCTTTCATAATTTGCCAGCTTATTACATTATAAAAAAAGACTAAGCCAAACATCACTCTGGATTTTTTCTCAAGTAGACCTCAGCTACCCACCCTACCACACCATTACCGAAAAGTTAATAAAAAAAATCTACGGCAATACTTTTGTCCGCACTAGGTGCAAAGGGAAGCTGGGTACCTGAGGTCTTCTGGAGAAAAAATCCATGGTGTAGGATAAAGCAAAACATTGTAATCCACATAGCCAAGTGTGTGGCTGTTCTTTTCAGGGTATGAATGGTTCTTTTCCTCGTTGAAGACCCTCCAGCTACTTTCAAGATGACGAACAGGAATAAAAGCCCTGTTCATTGATAATTTGTATTTTTTCTATGTATTGTGTGCGATTTTGTCCCATGCACATCTCTTTATTTTCTGTTTTAGGGCCTAAACACGGCTCAATGCAAGTTTAGCCCTTCAATATTAAAGGTCATATGTTACGTTATTGTTTCGGATAAGAGTGAATTTGGTACTTATTAAAACGTTTAAACCAGCTGCATTTGTTTGCACCTGTTCTAAGTAAGGAACCTGATGTTCAGTAGTTGCTGTTTGTTGATGTGGTTCATAAGTGTTCTTGTTTCTTGTTTATTATATAGATTATACCGTTGCATAGTTTTCCCGTTTGAATGGTTTTGCACTGGTCATTTTGGGGCTCTTTGTAGCTTGCTGTTCGATGTGAGCCAAGGCTCCGTGTTGAAGATCGTACTTTGACCTATAATGGTTTTTCTTTTACAAATTGTGACTTGGATGGAGAAATGTCTCATTGGCACTCATACCACATCTTCTTATATCTATATATGGTCTTTTTAAGTTAATTGGGAGATTGGGATTTCTAGCTTTAATCTCACCCATGTCAGCTTTTTATTTGTATTTACAGAAAAGAGAGCTAGTTTTGTATTCTTTAATATCCTGTAACAGTTTAATTTTCAATGAAGAAAGGACAGTTTTTTCTATGTCCGGTAGCATCATATCTGGATATCATATCTAGACATCGGCTGTTGTCTGCTCTTTGGTCGGGTTGTTGTCTCTTTGACATATTCCCCATTTCCATTGTCAATTTTATTATCGGTAGGCATTTAAAATCGCTAAACCATACACGACCGTTCATTAGTCATCTTAGATCAATTCCAAGTTTTAATAAGTCTACACAAAGCAGAAAATGAACTTTTACAACAAGGAATATTACACAACTGAAGCCATTGTCATAAAGATCGATTGACTGATTGGTGTTTCTTTAACGTCGCCGCAGAACATAAAATGATTACCTGATCTTCATTCTCAACATCTTCAATCTCTATTGTTCCCAAGGAAGCAACCATTTGATTCTCTGGGGTGGGGCAGGGATTTGTACCCGAAGTCAATATTTTTTTTAACCCAGACTGAAAAACACGCCTTTATCCATGGCCACACACAAACACAATAATATTTTCAAGATTTATTAAAAAAATATTTTTTTACACTTTTATTTTTTTATGTTGTTTTGAAATATTAATTTGACTTGAATTTATACGAATTTACTAAACATACATGTTTATACCAAGCCAAGTCCGTTTATATCTTGTTTCTCGCTTGACTATACAAAAGGCCAGGAGAGCTTTGGCCATCATTTGTCGTCTTTGATAGATATGTTTAACTGATAAGCTGTCTATATAAAGTAATGGGCCAATGGCATGAAGACATCACCAAATCACCATATACAATACACAAAAAGACACCTAGAGCTTACCATATGGTCTTTAACTACCCACCAACAGGCAGTAAGCTCTGGTTGGCCTTAAACACAAATCCAAGGGCACAGCAAAATGAGAATGTGGTATGATTGCCAATGTGACAACTATCCCCAAAGTTCAAATGAAGTGGATGTAAGCAATTATATATAGGCAACCTTACCACCTTCAACAATGAGAAAAAAACCAGAAGGGTATAGTCGGCTATGAAAGGCTCTGACATGAAAAATATGAAACAGTTCAGTTGAGAAAAAAACGGCCTAATTTATAACAAAATAAAACGAAAAACAAATATGACAGACATCAACAAACGACAACCATTGAACTACAGGCTCCTAACTTGGGACAGGCACATACAGTATGTGGCGGGGTTAAACATGCAAGTGAGCGCTCAACCCTCCCGTTAACCTGGGACGAGTTTTGTTACAGAACAACATAAGAACAAACTATAAAAATCAGTTGAAAAGGGCTTAACATATCAGATCGATACAAAACAGAAAAATACATCTAACAAAAGCACAGACCGGACGTGGCAGGGTATTTATACATCCTTAACAAACAAAAAAGGACACAAAGTACAGATCTGAGAGTAATCGCAGTACTGACAGCTAGTTTAAAGCCAATAACAACTAATACAAATCAAAGCACGAAAGCGCTGTAAAGGCAGTTAATTACAGGTTGTGTGTATTTTAAGTCCAGTTATATCATTATCTTGCATAGTACAGTGTACTTATCAGAGGTGGCTTTCAGTATTTAAGATTTAGAGTTCTCTAATGATATTGAACAAGTTTTATGAATGTCATATTCTGAGCACTATATGAAGGCGATTGTTCTCACTTGTTTATGAACTAGTGCATTATGTCCAGTTTGTACCTTTTTTATCTATGTTTATAGTCAAATTAGTTATCAAAGGTACCAGGATTATAATTTAATACGCCAGACGTGTGTTTCGTCTACATAAGACTCATCAGTGACGTTCAGATCAAAATAGTAACAAAGCCAAACAAGTACAAAGTTGAAGAGCATTGAGGACCCAAAATTCCAAAAAGTTGTGCCAAATACGGCTAAGGTAATCTATTCCTTGGATAAGAAAATCCTTAGTTTTTTCATTGGCAATCATAACACATCTCCTTATTTATATAATGATCTATATTCAACGACCTCAGGTACAAAAAAAATGTATGTAACTAAACTATGATGGGAAACCTTTGACTTCTTTCTTTTATATAAACTTTTGATTTGGTACCATAGAACTATGTAGAGTAAATGTACATTGCAACATGTCAACTCTTTCAACTCCTAGCAAAATTATATTTCCAAGCATAAAGTAATTTATGCATGAAAAAAGGAGTTCTTAATTAAGAAATAAACTGATTCGCTGAGCGCAGCTGGATACACCCGCAGAGGTACTACCCTGAACAGCTGGGGCAAAAATGGACACAATATTCAAGCTTGATACAGGTCTGAATCTGGATTGTAATT